GATATTATCACATCGTAGTGTGAAGTCCAGTGGCAGCTGGAATTATTGACCACATAACTACACCAAACTCCTACATTGCTACTGAACAAAAGAGTCAAAAACTACTATGTAGACCAAAAGTGCAAAAAGAAATTAACCTATTTAAGTTTGAAGTTGAGCTAAGACTGATGATGTTTTTCTTAATTTGAACTTCCTCGCTCGCCCTTCCGGTTTATAGTGTCAGTCATGCTCAATGGTGAGCACCTGAAGAAGTCATCAGGATTTCTCACATGCAGAGCAGACACCCTTTTCCCTTTTTTTTTTTTTTTTAAATTCTAAAAGTGGCAAGTTATTACAGAAGTGAAGCTTATGAGCATAAGCAATGACATTTCTTTAGCAAACAATCCAGACCTGTGAAAAATGTTTCCACAGGGCACCAGAGAAATTTCAACTCACCCTGGTCTCAGAATCCAACATCACCTTTACAACCTTGCTCCAGCTCCTTTTTTTTTTTTTTTTTTTCTGAATAAGAACCAGGAAGAATGAGGAAAATAACAGCTTCTTTGTACTACACATTAGCAGATATAGACAATCCATAGCATCATTTATCAGGGAATGGGATCCACTTAGGAAAAGACACCTGTCCTGGACAATGCCACCAGGAAGGATAAGTAAGTAACTTGGTGTGTTCTCCTCCTTCTCTAGGTGGTTTCCCATAGAGCTAGGAAGTCTCAGTCAAACCCCCTTACTCTGTTGTGAGAGATATACTTAATTAGCTCATTATTGCTTCAGCTATCCAGAAATAATTTTAAAGGGTAATTTCCAGTCCTTTTCTTTCTAATGATTCACCCTTCCTCTAGCCTTGTTAGCTACAGAAACTTGACAGTTGTCTTTCAGGCACTATGACTGCAGCCTGTCAGACAAAATGACAGACACTGTGGGAACTCCCAAGCACCAAGGCAGCCTGCTCACACCACCCTGCTGCAAGGCACAGGAGATGTCTCGGGGAGCCACTTCTTTCTATCCAGGCACCAGTAAGTCCTCCAGTCTCCTCCTGTTGTTCACTCAACTTCCCACCCCACACTCCTCCCAGGGCTTACTCACAGGATCCCTGTACCCAGCTTCAGAAGCATGGTTATCTGAATCCTGCCAGACCAAAGGGACCTCAGCCAGAATTTTTTTTAAGGAAAGGAACCAGCTCCACAGATGCCAGATGAATGCTCTGATGTCTTACATCCGGTCACAAGGTTCTGCTATCCAGAGTAAAATCTGAAAGTCATGGCAAAGCCTGTGAAGTTTAGTGAACCAAAGGGATGCTCAAGGGCAGTGGTTACACACTCTCAGGCCAGGCTCAAAGGGCAACAGTTCATCTGAATCCTACTGGCTTATATACCACTACAGAGGTCCTTACAGACTCTAAAAGTACCCACTTTCATTTTTTCCTTTCTGTGGGATAGAAACACCCTGTGTATTGCATCCTCCTTGTGCAAACCATCCTGTGTATTGCCTAACCCCCAGAGTCTACTAATAAGAGAGGTCTCTCTCAGCACCTTGTTGGGAGAAGAGAGCTCCAAGTGTGGTTTCCATGGCCAAATATATTGTAAAAAGCAGAACACCCCAGAAGCAAGGATAAGGAAACATATGTGTCCCTATCTCAAGGCAGAATGTCATCAGTGATCATATATTACCATGAAATCAGCTGCCAACAAATGCATAGTTCCTGCACTCTGCTGTGGCAAGCAGATCCTCAGAGATTTCACTGGAATTTTATTCCAATTTTTGGGGGGAGAAGTTAGACCAATTTCAATAGAAAAAAGTTATAATTTTATTCAGACCTAATTGGCAGCTTAGCTGCTCCTGCAGCTCCTCTTTTTCACACTCAAGGAATAAAAACCGTTTCAGTAATTTTAGATTGCTTACTTCTAGAATTGTTCTATATCACTGTAAAGACCTCATTCATTTCCCATTAGCACATTTTAGTTAAAATAAACACATAATAATTTTAAATGATCTGGCTTTCAGTATGTTTGTAAACAAAAAATTAATCTCAGGGGAAAAGCTTTGAAATTGTTAAAAGTCATTCTGACAGAATTAATCACTAAAACCACATTTTTACAAATTTTTTATTTAATTCAAGTATAGTAAGAGCATTGAGATTGTCAGTTGTACTGCTCTTTCCTCAGGATGGCTTCCTTAAACAAGCAGTTGACATCATTGCCCCCCAAACCTTTGACAAGGGGACAAACAAAGGAAAATTCAATACCTCAGGATTCAATTAATTTTAAGAGAAGACAAAATACAACAAATACCACATGAAAACAAAATGGTCACCAATTTCAGTAGCTTGAGAATCAGGCACAAGCAAACTTTATCCTCATTCCATGATAAAAGACAGACATATTACTGTCATTTTTACTTGTGGGAGATTGATTGCAACAAGTAACAGAAAATTTAAATGTAGTTGCAGGAGAGCTTTAACCAGGGGCAAAAGAAAAAAAGAAGGAAAAATCTGAAAGCTAAGAAGAAACATAATGAGAGGCACTGAACAAAGGGTGACAGGTTTTGTCACCTGTTGGGATGGTGACCCCATGTGCACTTGTGGGGCTCACACAGGCAGCTTAGCACGGTCTGTTCAGCTGTGTCAAAGAAGGAGTTAAGTCTCCAAACACAGGCAGCTGGAAAACACTTTAGATCATCTTTCAGCCTAAATAGCTTGAGCTATTTTCTCAAGGCAGTGCCAACGTTACACAGTGGAGTAAAAGTTCTGGACTATAAAGTGTCCGATTAGAGATGCTGTTTCCAGAAAATTTCTACAGATCATGTTAGTTCTGCCACCATGCTTATGTACAGAGTTTCTCAGGGTTTGATGTGACCTCTTCTCTTTGGGACTAATTATTAACTGTAGCTGTCTCCAAAGGCTCTCCCTAATCAAGAATATATGTAGGGAATTAAAATGGAGCCACTTTAATTAATTATGAAGTGTTGATATGAAGCATTCCATACTGCTGACCATATAATTTCTAAGTTTGTTGGAAACTGTAAATAAATACTACAAAGTTACTGACAGATAGGCAATTTGATGGCTCTGTTTTACTGAAAAAAATAAAAGAAGTGTAACAGGCTAAACCATAAATAATGTCCTAACATGCCTCATCAGTTTAATATTCCGGTAGTCTTACACTGCTGCACATAAAACATGAAGAAAAGCTACATATAATCAAAAGAGACTCATCTAACTTTAAATATAGAAGACTAGGTGCTTTTGCAAGGAGGAAATCTTATGTTAAAAGACACTGTACTTCATCAAAAAGCAAGCAGCCAGAGATCTCTAAACCCCAGACGCCGCATCTGACAGAAGTGCTGTACAGTATTGGGTCCCACCCTGCTCCACCCACAGCCCTCCCTGCTCTTTGTGTTCTCCAATACAGAGTCGTGACACCAGACCTTGTAAAACTCTCTTCTCTCAGCATGATCCACACTGTTTGACTTCTATATGTATGAATAACAACATGAATTTCTAAGTACAATTTAAGCCACTGTACTTATTTTCCTATCTCTGTAGGGTAGGGACTAAAAACAAAAACCCATCACATTCAGAAAGTCCTTAACTTGTGCTAAACAAGGTAGAGGGTAGAATATAAAGGAGCATACAAGCATTCAAGATTTGAAACAAAGCATCATTTTTTGTTCAAAATTCTTCTTCCCTTTCTAATCATGTCATTGTTAATATGAACACACCTGTAACTTTTAGTTAGTTTCACAAGTTTAGAAAATTGAATTTGTTACAATGAACCAAACACTCTGGAAAGTGAAAGGTACTTAGTTGTGGCATTCCGAGATCTTTGGTCAATTATCTAGCAGCACTTGGACTCCTTGATGCTTAAGGGCCACATTCAGAACTGAGCTGGATAAGGTGCTGATGGAGCAAAAAAGACAGACTCTGCCCAAGAGTATGAGACAGATATTAAAAGTAGCAGCATTAGAAGTTTACAGTAACAATAAATCTAACTCCCTAATGAGGTAGTTGTGAAAAGCCCCAAGTGTTTCCAAAACAGAAGGATGACATAATTTCTTTCCATCCATCAGACAAGAAACACAGAAGGCATTTTCCACTGTTGCTTTAGTGCACTTGCCCTACTGCATGACCTTCTTCAACAGAGCATCTATCTTCCAAAATTTTATGTGAAAGTTTTACCTCTTTATACAGTATGCCTTCTGAACTCTGCACTTTTCAGGCAGCATTAAATGTATTTGCAGGGCATTCAGCCTCCATATGAATCTTTCCCAGAAATTGCTAAAACTGAAGGCAAACTTTACTTTTGAAAACTATGATGTCATCTCCTTTTCCAGCAACTGCCTTTCCCAACCCACTTCAGCACATCCTTTCCATAATACAGAGTATGTCACTTGCAGATGGTTTTGAGAACTGCCACTCAAAAGTTTGATTTAGAAGACGTTCCTTTAACACATCACGTGTATAGAAAATGGATATGCATAGCAAGGAGATGACTTCGCAGCATTTGTACACATAAATCTCAAAACACGGCATCAGGGCGTGACGGGAAAGTAACTTCACTGACAGTGAAGTTCCCCGCTGGCGGCAACTGTGTGCTGGCCGCATGTGAGGAGACCAGGAGGTGTGCATTACCAGGGTATGCCCGCTTTTCCCCACCGGTTCCCTTATTTTACCGAGCCTCCGGCGTAGGTTTCCCAGGTGGTTCTGGGCACCTGGCACTGCGCAGGCTGGAGGCAGCCGGGCGCTTCCCGGGGCGGTCACCTGTGCAGCACAGGACGCTGCGGGACCCGGCGGGACTCCCCGCGTCACCCCGCGCCCGGTCAGCCCTGCGGCAGCCCGGTCACCCCGACGGCCCGGCGGGCCGGGGCGCGCTGTCCCGACGAGGCACCCCGAAGTGGGACAGGCGGCCGCTCGCCGGGCGCAGTCCCGCCCGCGGCCGGGCGTGCTCCCCCGTGGCCAGGGGCTCAAGCCCTGACTCCCGCACCGCCCTCACCCAGCTCCTCACCTCCAGACCTGCCCCAGCTGCAGGATGTGAACAAGCGACTGCAGGAGCCAGATGCAGAAGGCGCAGGACGCGGACCGGCCGCCGCCAGCGCGGGGACCGGCGGCGCCGCTGCCGGCGGCGTTGCTGCTGCTGTTGCTGCTGTTGGTGGCGTTGCCCTTGCTGGCGGTGGACGCTTGTCTCTGCGGCGTGCTGGGGCGAGCGGCGTCGATGTCCGCGGCCGCGGAGCCGCTGCTCACCAGCAGCTTGCTCTCGGCGGCGGGGCACTGCCCGGCGGCGGCGGCGGCGCTGTCCTCGGTGCTGAAGTCGTGCGCGAACCAGCGGAAGCTGAAGACCTGCACGGAGAGGGAGCCCAGCAGCACGAAGAACAGGGTGAGCCCGAACCACCAGCGCTGGCCCCGCAGGTAGTAGTCGACCGCCAGCCAGATGTCGGTGCCCACGTCCGCGAAGTACACGGCCAGGGCGGCCAGGATCCAGAGGCAGTCCCACAGAGAGTAGCGCCGCTGCTCCCTGCCCAGCCGCAGGCACAAGGAGGACGAGCCCCCGCCCGAGCCCCGGGAGCCCCCGCCACCGCCCCCTCCGCCGTCTCCTCCTCTACCGCCGCTGCAGCAGCAGCAGCAGCACCGGGAGCCGCCGCCCGAGCCGTCCCCGCCGCCGCCGCCGCTGCAGCACCCGCCCCCGGGCGCTTCATCGTCGTCGCTGCCGCCGCCCGGCCCGGCGCCCGCGGGCAGCCCCGGGGCCAGCGCCTGCACGGAGCCCGAGTGCTCGGAGTTCTGCAGCGGCGTGAACGCCACCTCGCCGCCCTTCTTCATCTTCCGCCGCCCGTCCGACTTCGCGGCCATGATGCTTCCCTCAGCCCCGCTGGAGAGCGAGCGGGAGCAGCGAGGGCTCCTTTATCCCGCGCCTCCTCCTGCTCCTCCTCCTCCGCCTCCTGACTCCTGCCTCCCGCCCTGCGCCGCCGCGGACCCGCCGGTCGCCGCGCTCCCTGTCCCCGCTCCGCGCCGGGCTCCGCGCCCGCGGGCGGCTCCTCCGCGGCGGCCGCGTCCGCAGCGCCGCCTGTCTGCGGGGAGCCGCGCTCAGACCGCCCGCCCCGCCGCCGCCTCCGCGGGGGCCGGCGGTGCCGGGGCCGCCGCCGCCGCGCTCCGCTCGAGCCGGGAGCAGGCAGGGCTGCGCTGCCCGGAGCAGCGCATCCCGCACCCGCCTCCCCGCCCGCCTCCGCCCGCACCCGCCGCCGCCACCACCCAGCTGACTGACGCCGGGAAAGAGGATGACCTCATCCCTCTTCCCTCGCTGCCACCGCCCCCCGCCCGGCACCGGCACCGGCACTGGCGCAGGGGCGGGGAAGGGGGCGCTCGGCGGCCGGGAGGGGAGGGCGCGGCGCTGCCCCGAGGGTGCGGAGCACAGCCCTGCGGCGGCGGGGGGAGCCGGTGTCTCTGCTGCCCGGCCCGGGGAGGTGGGCACGGCGGCGGCGAGCGAGCGGGTCGGCGGGGAGAGGTGGGGTGTGGCCGGCTCGCCCCGGGGCCGGGGCTGCGGGAGCAGGGGGTCGCGGCGCTGCCGCCGGCTCCGCTGCCGATCTCCGGTGTCCTCCAAATAGTTTGGGTTGCGTCTGCCCCGCCGGCGAGGGGGTGGAGTGGCGGAACGCGTGTGGGTGCGGACGGGGCGGCTAGGAGGGCGGGGATCCCCCCGGGCTTCTCCCTGCGAGCGGGCATTCTCGGGCCGGGGGGAGCCGCCGCTGCTGCCGCCCCAGCGCGGTGACTGGGGGCAGCTAGGGGCGGCGATGCCCCGCCGGGCCGCCCGACGCGCGCAGCGGGACCAGTCCGCACCGCGGAGCCGCGCCGAGCGCCCGGCACGGCGAGTCCCGCGCGGGGCGGCGGCCGCTGTCCCGCCGTCCCGTAGGAAGCGCTGCCGACGCTCCCCTAACTTTGTGAAACGCTGTTGCGAGATGCAGTTCTCGGGTTGTGCCGTGACTCACGCTGCCTCAGAGGCGTTTGGGGGAAGGTGAGGAGACGCCGCTTTATTCCGCCACCTGGAGAAATCGTATTTTAGGCGTAAAATTCCCCAGGCGAACTCACGACGCCTTTCACCGCTCCCCGCCCCTTTGCTCGCAGCCTCGGCTGCTCACGGAGCGCGGTCGCTCCTCAGAGCTCACCCGAGTGTTTCGGCAGCAGTTGTTGGCTCCGCCGGCAGTTCCCAGCTCGGGGCTGGGGAGCAGCTGAGGTCGGGAGCTGCTGTCCCGGGCGGAGCCGGCGCCACCTCTCCGCCGTGAAACACAGACTCTCCCGGGCGGCCCGCGGCAGCCGTCGCCCTCGGAACCCGGCGGGGGACACAAGTGGACGGTGGCTGGTGGCTACCCGGTCACGGGAGGCCACCAGCATCCGGCCTCCGAGAGTCACACGGGAATCACAGGGCTCGGGCTGCTGGCGGGGTAGGGGCGCATTTACCGCCCACCCTTGGCCCTTTCGCCCTCTCTGTGCTCCTGCATCTTCAACCATACGGGATGAGCAACTAATTGACCTCTTCACCTTTTTAATTTTTTTTTTTTTAAACCTCTGCAATATTTTATGAGCATGCCCTCTCCCTTCTTAAAATAGAGCAGTGAGTTTGTTCAGCCACGTTGCTGGAATATCTTAATAGGAATGACAGTGAGACTGATAGGGTAGTGTTACATTAAGCTCTGTGACTAAATATAGTCCCTTTAACTTCATTAATTAAACAGAAGAAATCATGTGGACAGCTGAGAAATCTGCCTTCTAACTCTTAAATGTACGTGGTAAGTATAAAATTGCCTTTAGGAAATTAGCTTTTACTGATATATACACCAGATTTCAAGAAAAGACTGCAGCACGCATTACAGTATTCAGAGTGCTGAACACACAAATATCAAATTTTGGAAGGTGAAAAGCATGCATGAAACTAATTTGACTAGTTATTTTACATGTTATCACACAAGAGTCTTTTAATTACTTTGTCACATAATGGTTCTTAAATAATACACATTTGCTATGCAGTCTCTGTTACAATGGTATTGCTGCACTTTATTTCTATTCCTTTTGGAACCCAGTATTTTATTCTCATTACAATCTACATGATTTTTCTTGCCTGAGACTTGAAATACAAATTGCTTCTTTCTCAAGATATCTTTTAATAATTCAGTCAGCACCTATATATAATACAATATATTCACTTAAGGTCCCTTTCAACCCAAACCATTCTATGATTCATTCTATGGTTCCAAGATTACCTTTGATGCAGAGAAGTTCTTAATGATAAAGCTAATTTAACTGCAAGTTTGTGGTTTATAATGAACAAGTTTTCAGTGTTACTCTGTTTCATAGCATGGTTTGGGTTTGAAGGGACGTTAAAGATCATTCAGTTCCAATCCCAGTTCCAATCCCCTGCTGTGGCCAGGGACACCTTTCACTTGACTAGGTTGTTCAAAGCCCCATCCAAACTGTCCTTGAATCACTATCCTACCAGTGATACGGCCTCCCCAACTTTTCTGGGGAACAATCTCTTCTGGTTCCTCACCACCATCACAGTAAAAGATTTTTCCCCCTAATATCTAATCAAACCTGCCCTCTGTCAGTTTGAAGCCATTACCACTTGTCCTGTCACTACATGCCCTTGTAAAAAGTCCCTCTCCATATTTCTTGCAGTCCCGTTCAGGTAGTGGAAGGTGCTATAAGATTTCCCCAGAGCCTTCTTGTAGTTATGTCTTCAATAAAATGGTTTACTGTACACTTTAGGTTACTTTGAGTCTGTTTGACATATACAGGTCTAAAAGATGGCACAAACTTTTAATGGAGGTTATAGTGTGATACATGAGTGACTGTAGGGGAACAACTGTGCTCCTAGAGCTGAAATCCTACTCTAAATAGCTTGGGCTGCAGGTAAAGACTAACTCAAAGGTCTCAGATTTGGGAAGGAGAGAATAAAATGGAGATCTAGGTCCAGCATGCTAAAGGGGCAGAAGGCGGCTCTGAGCAATGCAGGAGATATTTAGGAAAATAAATGGGGTCAATCTCAGTGTACATCATCTTCAGAAGTCATGGGATCCTGCTTAAAGCTACTCCACTGCTTGCCATTGGAAAAGGTTACTGCTGGGGCCAAGTGTTCCTACATCTTCCCCTCTTGTTCTGTATGTGGGACAAATTTTCTGGTATATTTGCCCTGAACCACTTCACTAAAGGATAGAATTTGATAGAACTTGGAGCTGACCCATCTTCCAGGAAGACTTCAGTTCACCACAGTGGGTTTAGACCTGAGATATGTCTGAAAGGTAAATCTGAAAGGTGTTCAGTTTGCAAGACAATTTGTTGTGGGTGGGGGGACAGTTTTACACTTTCTTTTCAATATATTTACATCACTCCTCTCCTCTCCTCTCCTCTCCTCTCCTCTCCTCTCCTCTCCTCTCCTCTCCTCTCCTCTCCTCTCCTCTCCTCTCCTCTCCTCTCCTCTCCTCTCCTCTCCTCTCCTCTCCTCTCCTCTCCTCTCCTCTCCTCCTCCTCTCCTCTCCTCTCCTCTCCTCTCCTCTCCTCTCCTCTCCTCTCCTCTCCTCTCCTCTCCTCTCCTCTCCTCTCCTCTCCTCTCCTCTCCTCTCCTCTCCTCTCCTCTCCTCTCCTCTCCTCTCCTCTCCTCTCCTCTCCTCTCCTCTCCTCTCCTCTCCTCTCCTCTCCTCTCCTCTTTTTTTTTTGTTAGTTGTCTAGGTGCTGAAGTCGTGTTTGGATTCAGCTACTGTTGCATTTGTGAGGGAAATAATATTCTTTCACACTGATTTTCATATTAACAATAGCTTTCTGTTAAAGAAAGGCAGTGCAATAGATGAACATTTAAACTTAAATTAAAGACTGTTTGATACTTGATAAGAGGAATGTCTTCTGGTTTGTTTTCTCTCTTTAAAGATAACAAGTGAAAAGGATCCCAAATAATAATAATGATAATAACAACAGAACCAAATTTCCTCTCTGTTAGACTGGCATAACTTCTGTGGAGCTGTATCAAGGCCAGAAGTGTTTGTATACACATTGTGTACAAAACAGCATGCATTCAGCAAGCCAATGTTGTTACTAAATCTCAGAAATTATTAATTACAAAATATAATTGAAGGACAAAAATGAGATCGCAGACATAAATACATATTTCATAAACCAAGAACAGACAACCAAGTACACTCATTTCTCATGTAAAGCTAGTTTTTCTCTGAAGGAGATTTTATTCATTAGTTCCTTTTTTCTCCTCTCTTTAAAGACATTTTTATGGGTATCACTGCTTTTGCTTTTTTCTGAGTTATAACTGTTTCCCTTTTTTAACCCTTAGAATCTTGATCTACTTTAGGAATGCTTTTTGTGTCTGTACACATCCTTCTGTTATTTCATTGTAGACCATTATCAACTCAGACCTAAATGTCCAAGAAACAAGCTTCCAATCCTCTTATCTTTACTCTAAAGTATCTTTTAGTTCTTCACATCCTAAGATGTGCATCTCTTCTGTAGTTGTGTTATACATACTGCCTTTTCAAAATGCACACAAACTTCCCTTCCCTTCCCTTCCCCCCTCACTCCCTTCTAATATTATTTTTCTCCCAAAGTCACCCAGTCTTTTCCTGTGCTTACCTCTCTCTAGATGTGTTTGACACAAAACTGGTTTGACCTGATGGAGAATCTGATGAACATTTATTTTCTTATTCACTCACCCAGAGAGAGTCTTACTCCTACGTCTTCTATAGAACTGGATTTATTTTTTCCATGTTAATACAGTGCCTTCAGGCACAGATGCACATGAAATCAATTTCTTTCAAACCATCAAGTAGGAACCATTCTACAAGATGTTCATAGGTTTTAGATATTTTCAATAGATTCATGTTTAAGCTATACACACAGGTGTCAGTGGAAGTTGTAATATAGGCTATGTGTTTAAAATTTATGTACTAAAATACTTAATTGTCTTTTTGCCCAACTAGCTTCATTCTAACAGGCACATGCCACTGTATGACCTGAAATACTTCATTACAAAGGGAGGATACGTTTCCTTTCAATTAGGACAATATTTCAGCAAATTAGCATAAGAACAAATCAGAAATACATTCATAAATTGATACACTGTTTAGAAAATTAATAGTAAAATAATATCTATTTTTAAAAAAAAGAACAGCAATTGGTTTCTTTCTTTAGCTTTAGATTATTTTATTTATGGGTATACATGTAGATTCATACAAAAATGTTTTTAAACTCTGTACTTTTAGATTTACAAAAGAGGAATGAATCCAGTATCTCCATATGTTAGTCCTCTTTTGCAATTACAAATAATACTCTGGAAGGTTCCCTGGCTTCTGAAGTTACTTTGCTTTATAACACCCTGATATAGATATGTGTATTTGGTACACCTCGGGCTCTTTTCTGTAGCATACCAAGGTTCATGTGAAAATGAAAACACACACACACCCCACGTGAGATCTCAGAAACCCAATGTTGAGGGGTCCTTAGGTGTACACGTAAATTAAGGAAGACTATAAATCAGAGCAGTTGAAATTATTTTTTTTATCCTTATTCTTTAGGCAAAGATATTTTGGGCACATATTTACATTTCATGGTGAATTGTGGCTGTAGTTTGTTTTATTATATTTCCAGATGTCTAAACATTAGAAACATACAAATAGATTCAACTGTACACTCCAGATAGAAGGGTAGGTATATTCCAGGTTTAAGCAGACAGAGAATAGCCATGCTTTGAAGATAGCATAGGGATTTTTAAATTACCTATGAAAGAAGAAATTATTTCTTGGGATTTTTTTTTAAGATTTAACTAAGGATTTCTTAAGTTTATATTTATTATTTAGAAATCGGTGTCAGTCACCTTTCAAGTTGCTTCATAGCTTGCATTTAAATATATAATCAAGGATAGACATAAATATGTAAGGAATTACAGGAGAAGACAGAGATATATGAAGACAGCAAGGAAGTAAGCTTGCAACCTTGTACAGTGCTGACAATTCTTTTGCTGCTATTGTGCATGCAGAAACCAACTACCAGGGACATTACATTTTATGATAAATGGGAAAAGCATTTCTAGAATTACTAAGGAAATATTAATATGCCTTCTGACACTGTAAGATGTAATTAAGAATTTGCAAAAATTTGAAAAGAAAATTTAAAGTCCCATTTTCTTTCCCCTTCTTGATTCACTGTTTAAAATTATTTTCAGTCAAGCAAAAGAAAAGGGTTTAGCCACAGCACAGGAAGTTATGACACTACTTTGCACTGCTAAGTACAGACGATTTTATGAACTTTTCCAGTCTACTGCCTTTCTTCATGGAGAAGTGCAAAGGATCATTTCAGACTGTATGTGAGCAGAGGTTGTTTATATTTGCAAAGACATTTATAAATACTAACAATGAAGGAATAGATGACATTCATCCAAGATGTCTAAAGGAACTCAAAGGAGCACTTGGTACTTCCTTTTTTATTAATCTCATGCCATTTCCACAACTGACAAACTACAGGACGGATAGATGCAATACAACTGCTCATATGTACTTAAAAGGAAGGAATCCTTTCTTATGTATGATGGGTTTCAGAAAAACACTACTTGGAGTTGCTGGGAGAATATTAAATGGTCCAATGAGCCAGTCAGAACATGATTATATTTTTTTCAAATCCTTAACATCAGCAGCAAAAGAAACTGAGACACTTAAGGGCTTAAAAGGGCAGAAATGTATCTAGATCAACCTATTAATAGATATATACCAGCACACCAGGAGAGGCAGATGAGGAAAAAAGATATAGTTAACTGGACTCTAATGGACATTTTCAGACTCAGGTTTTTTTTAAGAGTCTATTATATGGTCTACAGGGTAAATATTTTAGCTTCGGGCTAATATTTAACTTCAGGCTCTGTCTGCAGTGCATAATCAAATGTTTAATAATAATAGCAGCAAAATCTTCTAGTCTGCTTTCTTTCACAGACCTTTAGTCAGGTTGCAACAGAGAGAGGCAGTAGAAGTCAAACCCTTCTCTCCACTACAGCCTTGCCTGCTCCAACTGAGTTACCTCAGTGCTCCTTCCAAAGCTCCTCTGTGTGTGAAATTCCTGGACTACTTGTTGACCTAGGCAGTCTCTTTTCCGTGCTACATCTCTGTTCCCCATGGAAGCATCAGTAGTGTCAATATCTGCCCAGGCTCTCCATAGGCAGGGCAGAGTGTTGGGAGGAAAAAAAGCAGGGCAGCACCCTTGCTGTGCAGGAACAGCAGAGTGCACACAAGGAGGCACCTTTGTAATGTCCCTGTCTTTGGCCAGCAATTTTTCCAAAAATCATCCCACTGGCAAGGGACAGAGATTAAGTGACTTCTGTGCCAAACACAGCACACATCATGTGGAGGAAGCATGTTTGGGATTTGGCACCAGTCACAAGCTAAGTATGCTAACTGGTATGTCTTCCAAGCAAGACCTGAGTGGCGAGGGTTATATGGTTATATTTCACATTTTCTTATCCAAGTGTAATCCCCTGGTATTGCATGCTGTAAGCACCCATGATGCTCTTGAAATGAAGCCCTCTGCAGTGCTGGTCCCATTATTGAAAGGGTTAGAGAGTTGTGTACACAGCTCTGGATCCAGGGAAGCAAATCCAAAACCTGATTTGGACACTGTATAGGTAGAGAAAATAATTTTCAAGTATGGAAGGCAGCTGCAGAAGAAGGGTATCACTCTTAGTAAAGAAAAACGGATTAGAAAGGCATTATTTACACTTGATAAATCAGAAATAGCATCAAAGGGAGCTAGTATTACAAACTATTAATGAAACACATAATAATGAAACAAATCACATAATAGATCACAACGAAGTGATTCAGTGTAATGAATACTGATACCAAGTTAGTGAGCTGTGGTCTCTGGGGATACAATTTCAAATCCATTCCAGTGAGTCTGGTAGGAATGTCAGCAGAAAAAAAAAAAAAAAGAATTTGGCATTCCATTGCTCACACTGACCACATCCACACCTTACAATTGTTGTCCTTTTGATGACATTTGTAGATAAAAATTATATTTAAAAGTTATGTTACCTACCAAGGCCAAATATAGGCATTTATTATTTCTTCTTGTGTTAAGGTAACAACAGAGATCTCATCCCATGCAGATGTCAGGCAACTGTCCTAATTTCACATAATACTGTGAGTAAATAAACATTAGTCATATTAAAAAAGACAGCCAGACAATGTTTTATCAACACGGATTACAAACTCATTTATTTCTTATAATTATAGAGAGCCCATTGCTGCTACGGAACATGGTAATAGCTTGAGAGTGAAACAAGTCTAAAATGCAGCTCTTCAGAAAGATTTTAGATTTTGGAGGTACAAAAGGTGAAGTCCTTGATTAAGAGAGGGATGCTTTACATAGCTTATATAAAATATTTGTATTTTGGTCACACACATGAAACTTCAGGTGGTGTGCAAGTCCTGATTACATTTCAGACTTGTCTGTATTCTAAATCCTTCCTAAGTCAATTCTGGCAATATCAAAGCCTACCGAATCAAACATTAATTTGTGCATTTTTAGCTAAATACATATTTTTTAATGTGCATTTGCGAAAAATATTTTGACCTTTTTTTGTTGCTTTTCTTTGACATGAAGACATTCACACATGTAGCACTGGAAAGCTGGTTTGATAGCTAAGGAAAGGCACTGCAAAAATCATCAAGCTGAGCAGGGAGCTGCCTAAGCCTGCCTAAGCTATTGCAGCGTTACTGATAACAGCCTCTCTTAAGAGACCCTTTGGATCTAAAGATTCTCAGCTGAGGTTCTGGCTCAGCTACAAGATTTTACAACCGAATGTCAGCGACAGGCTTACCAACACAGGGTGAACTTCTGAATAACAATATCTTTCTTACTCTCTGTTATGGTCTTAAGAGAAGCAATATATAGTAAGGCTGAAGGGTGTTGCAGTTTGTTTGGACAATTATTTTTTAAATATCTAAACTTTAATAAATGATGAAAATGAAAAAAATTCATCAAATAAATACATACTGATAGATTTGAAATTAGCTAAATTTAGCTTACCCACAAATCATTACTGAAAAACAAATATTTGAGTATGTTACTACATATGTAACTACATACTACAATTATGATTGCTCAGTTCAAGTCCACAGAGCCATGTTACAGATTTAAGTTTCTGATACCAAAATTTCTGTCATGCAAAGTTTTTGAGCATCTATAATAGGATCAGAATTCTGTGTTCACATTAGATATATTAAATTTACTGTGATGTTTTTAATACATTGTTTTGACTTTTCTTCACAATAATTACAATGCCTTCAGAATTACAAAAGACAAGTAAATCAAATCAGCATGGATTTGGAGAAGCATCACACTCAGAAAGAATCAGAAATCAAGCATCTGTGGATAAAGCTGCACAATGGTGAGGCCATCATTTTCATCTTCAGAGAGCCACCTTAAGGGAAAAACATAAAAACCTGTCATAGACACAGCACATGTAAAACTTAAGAAACAGAAAATTTGTGAGAGCCTGGTTCTTCACCTTTGATTTTCTAGGAGAGTATTTACATTGGTTTGTTGAGAAGAAAAAATTAATCTGAAGAAAATAGTGACTTTTAAAATTTTTGTTTTAATATTCACATATGTGTAATTTTAAAGTGTAATTAACTTTATTAATATATTTATGAAATATACATTAATTTTATTTTTTGGTCATATAGGTAACTAGTAAATTGATCTAAAGAATGACAATAAAATCAGGATAATTTAGAGGTGGGAAATATGTTCTGTGATAGCAAGTAATTGTCCTTATAATTTATTCCAGGAACTCTCTTTCCCATATCTCTTTGTTGGTTCACAACATACTGAGTTGCATGATGGGCCCAGTCCTAGCTCTGTAAGAGACTATGGAGCTTTAAATGTCAATTATATGAGAAACAAGCCTGAGTCCAAAGTTTGGGTAGACTGATTTTAACTGGAACCATGGATACAGTGGTATTAATTTCCAAAGAGAGTTACAAATCTTCTATACTTTGGAAAGTTTATGACAGTCTACCTGATCTGATATCTACACGTGTGGGAGGGGTTCCCAGACAGTAAGTACAGCATGAAAGTAGCTCACATCTGAAGCTGCACCATTCAGCAGCTGGGAGATATGGCTGAAGATAAACAGGTCCAAGCTGAAGCATAACTGATTTTGGCAGCTAAAACTGTAAGTGGAAGTCACAGAGCCTAGAAAAGGTGTGATGTGTAAGCTAGATAACAGGCATTTAAATGGGTTAGGAAAGGATTCAGGTTTCTCTGTGATTAGTGTCTTTTAGAGACATTATTTGTATTGGTAGAGTCTTTTTTGTGGGAGAAAATGAGCCCATTCCCCATTCACTCCATAGGCCATGAGAAGAGGAGCTCCATGAGGAGCTCCATGTCTCAGCTGGAAGAGGACCATGAACTTAGAGTTTCCTCTATCTGAGGAACCTCTGGGTCACTGAGTGCCCTGAGGTTAACCTCCTAATCTCTCCTACTAAATAACTTCCAGTACGAGTGGGTTGATACACTTCAAGGCAGGCACATAGCCCAACAAGGCCCCAGTTGAATGTTCTTATCAGCAGCATGTAGAATCAATCTGTGCCAGTCACTCACCTACACCAATGATGTGATTCAAGTTCTTGTGCCAGTCTCTTATATATCTTTACACTTTTACTATAAGATTTAAAAAAAAATTGAAAAAAACCCAAATATCTGGGAAAAAAGTGTTTGCTGCAGTCTTGTCTTCTGCAAAAATCTTCCTGGCTGGTGTGGTCTGAGAACTCTTACAAGCAAAAGAGATGAAGTGTCATCAAATCCAGAAAATCCTGTCATGGATTGTGTTGCACATCTGAGAAACCATATTTGTGGCTTAAGAACATTGCTTAATGCCCACTAATTTAGATTTAGGTATTTAGAAGATTAGAGAGCATCTGAGCATGCCATTGGAGGAAGTTGAAGCAAGGGAATTTTATTGTTGTTGGAAGAAATTTAATGTTGTTGAGGTCAGTAGCACCCTTCCTCTCATGATTTAGACTGTAGAGACCAACTGAGTATCCAAGAACTTAAAAAGTTAGCTTTTTTTTGTACAGGGGCTGGGATTTGGCTTCCATTAATTGTCAAGTTTACAGAAATATTTAGGGAAAGAATAAAATTAAATATTCTTGGCTACCATTTCTGTTTTCAGATTATCAGGTAACATTCCTCTTTCTAGATACAGGTAGCTTGTAAATTTTCACACTTCTGTGCTCTCCAGATGCATTTAAAAACTAATTTCCACTTGGAATGACATGAATATGTTTGCATCAGTTATTTATTCTGAAATTCTTCAAGCTGTGAATGATATACTGTAGTGAACAATCACTCCAAGAATACCCTTCAATTTAATTTCCAATTTTTGAAATGGTATTGTTTCAGTTTGATGCAGACTGATGTACACCTTCTTTTTGCACATCAGTAGCCCTTTACCCAAGAAACCCATTACCTAAAAATATTTCTAAATTTAGATCATTACAATTTTACATTATATTATACAAAGCTTTCCTCAGTCTTTATCCTATTTATGAGTGTATCTTGGGCCCATACTAAGCAAACATTGAAACAGAAGGATTCTAATGTTTTAATGTTGCCTTTGCTCAATAAAATACATTACTTCTTCCTCGAGTTTTGAATCTATGCTGCCATATTCCACTGTCCTCCTTTCTGATTCTTTTCCATGCCTGTTTGCTTATCCCTGATATGTTTGCCAGAGCTATTTATGTGCTAATGCTTGTATAGTGGCTCACCAGACACCATCTACCTCTTGCGTCCAAAATATGTACGAATACTTTCTCTTGGCAAAGGCATTAAATTATGGCTCTCCTACAATCATCCAGTTTTAATTGTGTGGAAAAATCGAGCATCCTCCTCTAACAATTCTTCTGACATTTTAGTTTCAAGCTGGCCAAAGGGTTCAAACGTCATTGGGGATAGACTGATAGGAACACAACATTGGAAAAAAAAATCATTACTGTCTTAGAAAACCAGACAGAAGCAACTGAGATACTTGTGAAAAAGAAAACAGCATGTACAGGGTGATGATGGACTGATCTACTGACCTGTTACAGTTAAAGCAATGCATTGAATTCCTAGCTGCATCTGTGATTTCCACTTTTTCTAGAAACCAGCCACTTGCTGTAGAAGAAAAAAAAAAATAAAGAGCAAATTTAATATAACCAAAACACAAATACAGCATAAGAAAGGTTTCTAATTTAATTTCCCAAACCCCATGTGGTTCAGTACTTCCAAGTATATTCAACATCAATAATAAAACTGAAACACAGATGATTCAAATTACTACAACGTCTCTTAGTTTTACAGGGAAGGTCTTTGATGTTTTTGACAGAAAATGTAATGGAAGATTTTTTTTACAACTTATTTTTCCAGATTGGATAGAACAGGCAGTAAGACAAATAGTGTGCATGGTAATATTTAATACATTCTTGAAAACCCATTTTGCCCTTTCAGGTACTTGGAAATGCATTCAAAATGCACCCCTAGTGGGCATTCTACTACTCTTTTCTAATTAATATATTGATATGGATGTGAACCAAGTGTTGAAACTGAATGCTTCTCATATCCCTATTTTTCCAGCAGTCATGATTAGAATAGCATTTTCATTTAGGTCAGCACTCATATTTGTTTCAGCTTTAAGATACTAAATATTTTAATCTCCTGTTTTCTGTGTGAAGAAATACCTACATTGTTGTGATATAGAATTTTATTTCCTAGAATATCAAAATATTAATATTTTAAAACCAAAACTTTATTTTATATATACAATGTCTGTGCTGATATCTTTAGTTGTGTTTGCCAATGCAAATACTTAAGGAAAACATTTTAAAACTAATTGGGATCATACTGCTGGCAGTTGACAACATTTTAGTACTCTTTACGTGTCCTAGAGATAAAGAACTAGATCATATCTAATTATTTTGGTTTTCAAATATTTGCATGAAGTACTAAGTAGGCTAAAACCAATAAAATATTTTTATTCATAAATACTAAATTTTAATTGCACATGCTAAAAATATAATATAAAAATATTTGCAAATAGTGTCAGTTTGGATAAAATGTAAAGGTACAGCGATGTTTCTTTTTATTCAATGACATTTTCAAAAAAATAGCCGGGTTAAGTAGGCCATGAAGGTGTCTAGATATTCCACCTTCAATTCTCTAGATCCATTTATTGATATTGTGAAGTACTTTTGAAACTCTTTTAATGAAATCTTGTGAATGGTTTAATATATCATAGACTCTACTTGGAATAGATGACCTTTCACAAAATCTCTAAATCAGAGTCAAGATCATCAGCAGTAAAATGTTACAGTCTCTCAGATTTACACGACCCTTTACAAAAGAATAGAAAGGTAAGTTTGCTCTCTTGAAAAGATTAAAATCTAATGCTTCATCCTTTATTGACAAAACTCCAACAGACCTCACTAAAGTCTCCAGGTATGGAGAAATCCAGAGGTAGCTATGATATATTAGCAAACAGATGGAATATCTCAAAGAGGTACTCTAACATTTCAGGAAGCTTGTGGGGATAACAGCTAATTTGACAAAACACACTTGGAGGTAATTTCAGAGAAATATTTAGAGGAAGGTTGTCATGTCTAAGATGACTCAACACACACCAGCTGTGCTAGGAAGGCACTATTAACATCTATGTGATGTTGATCAGGACACAGAGAGGAAAAATAATAATAATGTTGATAGATCAGGACTCAGGAAATAAAAGTTCAATCTATTATTTCGCCTGCAGTACTATAAGTCTGCAATTGTGGAGTTCCCTTCCCGTATCAGATCTAAGATGAACTGTATGCATGCATAGCAGTTATCACAAATAAGATGAAAGTCAGCAGGACAATCTTGTTTATTATAGATATTTCAACAGGTTTAGTGATTTTTCTGTTTTCCACACCGTGAAATATATGACATGACTGGGTGGTTAGGAAAATAAAAAAGCTGTTCAACTTTCTCCAAGTAGGAATTGCTGAATTTTTCTTGGTTCATCCTAGAAATGATAAACCCTTCGGAACTTTATGATGCCTCATGAACTTAGATTAATCAGATTTTATTAAACCTAAACCTATTTCTTTGAGATGGCTTAAGCAAACTTCACCTGACTAGAATATCTTAATGCAATCGGACCTTTTTGCTTCAAGTTATACATTCCCTGAAAATTCAGTTTATGTGTTTGTATATCTCTATATGTCTGTATATATCTTGATAGCTACATATCCCTAAGGGTTTTAGAGCTATTAACTGAAAGCTAAAAAGATTATATGCCCTAGCCTCCTGTTTTATTTTTATGTAAAATTCAGAGTCTAGAGGTTACTGTTCACAGAAACATTTTCCATCATCATGTGTGGTTATGTTCTGTAGTTACCTCCTAACTTAACATCAGGGCAGGACCTGGTGCACACTGGTGTTCTCAGGCTTTACAAGAGGATATCTATGGGTGTGAGAGAGAGCTACAACATGCTTTAATCAGAGTCCCCAAACTTGCTCAAATCATGGAAAGTCTAGCCTGCAGTTTGAAAATTAAATCCTATCTTATTTAAGACATCTAATAAGGGGTTTGGCTGAGCAATGTTTGAAGGACAAAACTATCTGAGGTTTATTTTAACTAGATCTGTTAGAATCGTGGTGTAGTCAAGGGAAATGTGATAGAGGGGATGAAAACAAGGGCAGTAAAGCTGACCTCATTTGTACACAGATTTGAATTAGCTAACTGTAGCAGTAGTGTGACTTCAAGCACCTTTCCAAATGTCAGGCAAATCCTTAAGCAGAAGATGTTTGCAAGGCTACTGAACACAGAATACTTACCAAATCCTTTCCCATCGTGGCCAATTTCAATTGAACGTAGGCTGCCTAATTTTTTTGTCTTAATCTTGAAGGTATCAACCTTTAATATTAAAATATAATTATTAAAAATATTATATAATGTTTGGAAGCTTACATATTTGTCTAAGTTACTTCTGAGACCAATTCAAGTGTAATAGTAGAAGTTCAGAATAAGAGAACTAATGTAGTTTATTTTCCCAACTGATGATGTGTGATACACATCCTCTCCTATTAGGTCTCAGTTTCAACACAAAAGATTAATTTTTCAACTTATCGTATGACAATCCCTACTTCTTTCTTGACTTTCATCTATTGTGAAAACATTTTTGGTCTCATGAATCCTCAACTGGAAGTCTTCTAAAATGGTTTTAGTATATGATACGTAAATAAAAATTCAGGAACAGAAAAGTTAAAGGCTTTTACTACATTAACCATTATTCCTCTTAAATATGATATATATTAATTTAAATATTACATTGTTTCATATTGAAGATGTTCAAAAAGAAATTTGTTTTTCCTAAGACCTTTGACATCACTGGCTACCCATCAACTTGGCTGGATTGATAACAGGATTTCTATGTATCTACTGTTCTTTTTTGTAGGGTAATGACACCTCCTGTGTGGTACCAGGCAAAAGGAAGTACTACTGAAGACACTTTTTTACTTGCTCCTTGTGCCTGTAGGTAGCAAGATTTATTATCCTCCTCAGTATGGAAGACAATTCATGGGTAAATATCTTTATCTCACAGATAACCTGGCTGAAGAAACTTATATTAATTCCAGGTAAAAAGATGATTAATATTGCTGGAGATAATGAGGTAGATCTCTTAAGGGATATATTTTCACTGGAGTTCTAATTATTTAGTCATTACCATTCAATATCTTCACAAGAGAAAGTTACAGAGAATATATATATATATTTCTTTACTTAAGGGTAACCATCATTGTACTGCATTGCACAGGTGGTGACCAAACAGAGCAATTTCTTTGCCAGAATAATATGCTTATTACATTAGGAAAACATCCAGCCAAGGCAGTAGGACATCATGCAGAGAATCTGCATTCTTATTCAAATGTCCGTATCTGAAATAAGGGTCTTTGATAAAGAGCCTAAAGCATGATGGATCTCAGAATCAGGCTGATGTGTATGGTTCCATTTCACCTGATTTTAGGCTTATACATCCAGGGATGCTCGCAGCACCAGTTTCCATGGCAAAGTAAAATGATGGGAGGTAAGAGACTGATGTGTTCTCATGCACAATATTCAAGGCGTGTGCAACAGCACAGGGTGGTGCACACACGTGCACAGGCAACTCATGCTGTGCATTTCAGAATGAGGAAATATATAACTGGGCACTAAGTGGAGGCAGTATGAAGATATATTTGGGACTAATAGGCAGAAGAGCAGCAGAGACAGCTAGATACAATAGAAATAAAATGTTCCTTGGTGAATCTGGTGGAAAGATGAAACACAGGGCAAGATAAGACTATACCTCATATAGTGATGTTGAAAACAGAATAAATGCCTCAAATTTTCTAAAGAACTTGCATAGATTTAATGTCTGCTTTTCTGGTACAGAAATGAACACAACCTGTAAAGTCTGTGTACTCACCTTTCCTCTTTCAAAGGGGTTCTGATGCTCCAGTGACTGAGAGAGTGGAAATACCTCAGATTTCTCCTCATTCCCAAATAAAATAATGTGTACATTGGCATCAGTCCCTGCTCCCCTTTTGTCACCTGTATACACTTTAATAGTATACTCTGTCAAATTTTTTACTTTACTTCCTTCTTCATTCAAGTTATTATCCATGTCATTCTTTTGTTTCTCTCCTCTAATAACAAAAGATCTTGGAATTTCTCTCTGTATTTTGGGCTTATTTGCATTCACAAAAAATTCTCTGAAAAACAGAACCACATTTATTTTTTGATAAGTAAATAATAAGTTAAATGAAAAAATCCTATTAATTTATGTGGGACAGCTAAAGATGGGCATATTTTTAAAATATCTATTGAAAGAATCACTCTATGGCAGTCGCTTTTATTCAGTGTCTGCTCAGCAATTTCAAGTATTATGCTATTAAAAAACATTACTAGCTTTACACAATATACTTACTCATTCACTTCAAATACATAGATAGGATGCTCCTTTGCAGCGTCTTGCACATGCAGTTTTTTGATGTCCAATTTGCAGTCTGCAAAGAAGGAGAGAGAACATAGTGAAAATATTCCATTGCATGACAAAAATTAGGTAGAGTGTTGTTGGTGTAATGATGGCATTCTTACTACATGAAAACTTCATTTTTTCATTAATTTAGGAATGCAAACAAGTGAGTTGAAAGTGCTGGAACAACTACAAGATTCTTTATTTTGTTTCTATTTGTAAACATCAACTTAGAAATTTAGGAGTAAGCATTTCCTTTGTCTTAGTGAAGCAAAGGAGTGTTGTCCTCACTGTCCTTGGACGGGCATGCAGAAAAGATTCAGCATGACTCGGGCAGGCACGTTTGAGAAGGAAGAGCAGAAATACACGTCTGTTGCTTCCTCCTCAGTGACTGGTTGACAAGAGGACTGGAGCTCTATTCTACATGCAGCACAAAGAGAATTGCATTAGGTGGCCAGTAGGAGGGGAGTTTGGCAGCTCACTGTATCCCTCTGCTGTTTGGGAAAGATTGCTCTCTGACTTATACTCCTTTTTGAATTTTCTATTGGGGGCTTTAGCTGCATGGCCTGAGTGTCTGGTCACTTGTTAGTCATGAAGACTATTCATTTTCCCTTCTATTATTTGTAACTTCTGATCTGTTCAACAAACTGCATCTCTTCTACTACTGTCTAGCTCCCTTTAGTTGTATCAATAGGATATCACCAGGCTCCTGTGGAGGAATCCAAGACATTGTGTTACAACTCATGACCTGCCAAGATACATGCATAGGGAGAGTCAGAAGATTCAGGAAGGGACCATGAACCATCTCATCTTAAAAATTTGCTCTGATGAGGTGTCGTGGTTTGACATGGAAAAAGAATTTTTCTCGGCAGGAAGAGATCAATTTGGATATTGACCAATTGAAGGTGGACACGCCTCTGAGAACATAGAGGGGTTAAAAGCAGAATCCCCAGGAGAACTCGCTCTCTTTTGTTCCTGTCAGCGTGCAGTGCAGGACTCTCCCCTGCCTGGCCATGGCTGGGTTGGGGAGGGGAAAAGCCATGTGGCCTGACTGAGGTAGGTCGAAGGGTGGAGGGGCTGGAACTGGGCTGGCCCCCTGCAGATGGAAGGGTGGAGAAAATCTGGGATGTCTCCATTTCCCCCCCAGAGTCTCTCTAGAGAGAGAGAGAGAGAAAGAGACAGCGGCGGTTTGTCAGCAGTTCACCGCAGGGAAGGAGAAGAGCGGGAGGGCTGCAAGGTGCCCAGCCGGGCTGTGGGAGCTGGAGCCTGGGCAGCGAGCCATCCTTGGGAGTTGGGACTTTTAACCCTTCCTGAGAAATGAAAGCTTTGTGAAATTTTTCTCCTCCTCAGTTTGAAAGAGAGGGAGAGAGACAGCCTGGACCCTGGGATGCTAGAAGGAGAAATTCTAGGTGGGAGGAGATGATGGAGTGGCTTTTTGGCTGGACTTTTTCTTGATAGCCACAGACTGAACCGATCTTCTCCTCCAAGAGAGACTGTATTTTAGGAGGATGCTGGTGAGCCAAAGAGACCTGCTTCAGCTGGGAAAAGATAGAAGTGGAGCGAACAGAGCAAAGTTAGGAAGGTTTGTGATGGTGCCCCCTGTCTTCAGAGAAGAAGAAAAGAAGATCTCTATTCTTGGATCCTCGGCCCCAGGGCGAAATGGGGGGGACTGTGGTCCCAAAAATGAAAAACTGAACTGTTGTTTTTCCCCTCTTGGCAGGGCATCCTTGAAATGAAAAATCCTAAAAGCAGTCTGTCCATCCGTGCATTGGTGGTGAGAGCACTGTGCATGGAAAGGAGAGGGTCACCATGGCAAACTTTCTCTGGGCGGTGCCATGAGTGACATGGAAACTCAGGATGTGGCAGCTGTGTTTCCTGGGGGGTCTATGGCGCAGGAGGGACTCCTCTCTCCCTTGATGGACTGAGTATTTATTATCTGGAGGGTGGAAACCTGATTGGGGTCCAGGTTGTGTCTCACTGTGGTTTGTTGGAGTTGGGTGGTGGGAGGAGGAATGCTTTGGGAGGTTTTCATTTTGAATTTTGTGTGGTTTTTTTTCCTTTCTTTTTTCTTTTATAGTAGTATAGTAGTAATATTAATAGTAGCTTAATTAAGTTTTTTCCCTTGTTATTAATCTTGGGCCTGCTTCTGCTCTGTTCTCGATCGCATTTCACAGCATTCAGTTGAGAGGTTGCATTTTCATGGGGGCGCTGGCATTGTGCCAGTGTCAAACCATGACATAAGGAATGAAAGTATAAATGCACTAGAGAACATTGCCTGAACTGATCAGTCCTGCAGGGTAGATCTGACTTTAAAGATATTTTATGGGCTTTGGGACTTTTGGTTCAAAGTCTTGGTCCAAACTAGTCTCAGTTCAAACAAGCCTAGTTACAATATGGACACCCTTTCTCATCTGAAGTGTTTTATCGTCTAAGTAACTCCTTTGGAAGAAATATCTGTTATACATCATCCCAATCCTCTCCTCATAACACACACAGAGGCAATGAGCCCAATGTCCTTCCTTTGTGAATTGTGTTTTCAAACCCGAATGGAAAAGACTTGCTTGTCTCGTTCTCCATGGTGCCCTTTGGCTACACACAATTGCCACATTCAGTGACTGTCACTCAGACAGATGGCTGTAGTTAACTTTCACAGCTGAAGCTGTGGGAAACAAAAGCAGTGAGCTGCACGCCTTGCTCCCCCCAGCAGCATGGCAGGGCTGTCCTTCTCCTTCCCCTCCAGAGAAACTGCACCTCCACACCGTGTCCCCCTGGGGTGACCAAGGCAGCCTGTGCTGGCCACGGGATGTGTGACCAGCCAAGGAGCTCATGGATGCTCACTGCCTGAATGTCACCTCACATACTTGGTTGAAATTGGGTGCTGTGCCTAAAAGGTTTGTCTTAAGAGCCTCCAAATGAGCAAACAAAAGAAAAAGAAGATGGATAAAGTGCAAACATAGAACCATTGCTTCCCTAGAAAACTGTCTGAAAATGGTCAAGTGTAATGCATAGTAATGATTTGCAATTATATAGCAAATTTCATTAACGGATTTCAAAAAACTTTATAATTAATTCTTTGAATTAGTAGCATGATAGCCATCCTACAGATAAAGCAGAGAGATGTTGAAGTCAAAACAATTTTAAGGAAGTTCAGTGACAAAACTTGCTGACTTCCAAACAGAGGTAAAATTTGCCTCTGAGTGTCACAGGGAGAAAACTGAACTGGGGGAGAAACAGTGAAAATAATTTAATCGCAGAAGGAAAATTAAACAATATCAATTTCTTACTTGAGTAATAATCATTCTCCTAGATAACTTATTAGTAGAGCATGTATTAAGTGAAGAATATAATTATATTCATCTTCATTTACTTTCTTGATGCAATAATATTATAACACTTAGATCCCAGGATTTTAATTTGTCAAAATGTAGCATTTTGCTTTATAAAACGCTACGTTTAGAAAAAATAGCCAAAAGGAATTAACTAAGATTTAACTCTGGCAGTGACATTGTTGCCCTTAACAGGAGGTTAGCTGTGTGATTTACATGACTGACTTTAGAAAGCAAAAAGTATTTTACCTGTTTTACTGCTAATCAAAAGAACAATTTTCTCCAGTTCTCCCAAGTCAACAGCATCCACGATAACTAGAAGTGACTAAAATAAAATTATTCAATATTGTAATATATAACCATGTTTCTTAACTTCTTTTCATGGGAAAATTTGAAAATAATATGTAGGAAGTTTACAAATGGATTAAAGGGTAAATCTTAAAATACTTTATGACAGAGTACCTCATTTTTCTCTCCCTGCTGTACATTCTGCAATGACTGGAGAAGGGATCTGTCTCCTGTGTCACCATGAGTACCATATAAGCATGCAGTCATATGCACTAAATTTCTCTCATTCAAAATATTTCTTGAAAATACTGTTAGATGATATGTAACCACTGCAATATAAAGCAAAAAGAGATTTTGTTAAGGTTTTGCCACAACCTTGAACACCTATTTGACAACCTGGCATTCTATAGAGAGATGTAATCAAGCACTTGAAAATAATAGCAAAACTCAAAATTTTTGCAATTTTTTCTTCATAATTGTTTTGCCACCATCTCCCAGATCTGAAATTTGAGAAGTGAGGCTGGACCAGCCCAAAACAAAAATGAAAGGATTGCATTTGGAAGGTTTAATTCTTGTATCACTTTGTCAAAAAGCAGCAAGAGTGGACCTGCCCTACAAGAGTGGACAAGTTAGAAGCTGAGCACAGCCCCAGCTCAGGCAGCACCTCTCTGACCAGGTTCTGCAGAATCTGCATGGGGCAGAGCTGTCCAGAGTCCCAGATGCAGCAAACAGTGAAAAAGACCTGAGATCCATCCTGGTGATTGAGCTGGGGGCAGAAGGAGAAAGGGCCAGAGAAGGAATGAGAATAAGGCTACAACATAGGACTAAAGTGTGCAGGAGAGGGTGCAGAGAGAGGACTAGGGAAAGATTCACATACAATGTAACCCAGGCATGATCTGACCAGGGCGTCCTCTGCCCATCTTCAAGTTATATCTGAGACTCATTGTGGCCCTGATGCACGGGAGCCCAGTGGAGAGGTTGCATTCATGAACTTTGGGTCAGATCGTACAGAGAACAGCACTGGGAGAGTCCAGAGGAGGGCAATTGAGGGAGATTGATGTAGGCAAGGGTAGGAGGGCTAAAATGCTTAAATAGTGGTCTTTGGGTAGTATGAGCAAATCACAAGTGTAGCAACCATCCTTTTATCTCTCTAGTGTACTGAATGAATTGGAAAGGGGAAAGATTAAATGGATCTCTGAAAAGAAATTACATACAACAAGGGTAACATATATGAATGTTACAACTCCATTAATTGTATAAAATTCTAATTATTTCATAATATCAATATTAATTATGGCTCTCTGTTAAATTTATTGGAATAATCAGCTTGAAAGTAGCATAATAGGGTTTTTTTTCACCTTTTCAATATTTAATTGTTTTGTCTTAAAACCTACAGCAGTGCAAAATTGACCTTCTGAACAGCCCTGTGTGTGAGCAGAGAGACAGCACCATGTCAACCCTGGGGATTCCTGTGGTGTAAGCATCTCAAAGGAAGGTACAGTAAAGGGAAACTACTTATGTATATACTCAGCTGGAGGCCTCTGCTCATTAATACACCCAAAGGCACAAGTGTGCACTGCCAGATCTCAAGGGTCTGTACTGTATCAACTGCATTTTGATGGCTTCAATTAGCCATTAGCAAATGCTTCATCACAAGCCCAAGCATAATTTTTTTAAAAAAGGAAAATATAACTGAGATAAAATACTAAGGCACACTATGAATGACAGAGCTGTATCTGAAATTTAACATCACGTGGCTTATGGTTATAGTGAGTGTGATTAGCTGCTTTCCATTCCAATTAATACAATACTGGTATTACTTTTAGCTGATAAAAGGGAGAAAATAAATTAGGTTTAGAAAGCTGTCAGAAAGCATATCTGGTTTTCACAATAAATTGCAAGTAAATTTGTCTGTAAAGATCACTTTGAACTATACGTGTACCACCTGCTGTGAAGCTGCTTAAACCTCTCTTGGACAAAAATGGTAGAGATTGGGGGAATCACTGTCCTAGCTTTTTTTTCTTCACTGGTTACAAATCCCTCCTTGAAAATATCTAAGCATGGATGGAAAGACATAAAACCCACAGAAATTAGCTATTTCAAACTTACAGATAACATAACACCTATTCCTTGTTTGTGATGTTTTTTTGTCTCTTGATTTCAGAATAGTTGCAAAGAGCAAATATATTACCAGAAAAAAAAAAAAAAAAAACACCAAAAAAAACCCCAAAGAATGGGGAAATTATTTTTTCAGCAAAGGTCAATGACAGAGCCAAGGTCATAAGGACTCCAGTCTCACCCCCCTTTTATCACCCATGCTGCATCTTTCTCTCCTCATTTCTGTGTATTTGTACCTGTATCCTGAATATTTCTGCATTTTACAGTGATCAGTTCTTTGCAAGGGGTGCACTTATGTGCTTTATGTTAATCTGAAGGTCCTCTTTGTTTCAATCTTGTGTGTAGGAGATGAAAGCCATTGAGCCCTGCTCTGTACCCATACTCTGTAAGTGATCAAGTCAAAATAACACCTCTAAGCAATATAAAATCTAAAGACTAGATACAAATCTTAGATTTTCAATTGCAGCCAAAATATGCAAAATAACCCCAAACTTCATCCTTTGTTACTTCTACTGAGATTATTCATGTACTTACTTTTGGATGCAGAGACCTCACTGAAACTGGGCCATAAGTTCCAGTCCAAAGTGTGCGGGGTAGTTCCTTTTACGTCTACTTCAGCTCACTTTAGATGAGCTGACTTATCTTTTACCCAAATAATTAATTTGTTTTCTGCATAAAACCCAGGCACAAATTATTTGAATATTAAGCATCATTATTTGGTCTGTTAATTAAGTTAGTATTTGTTCCATCATATGGCAGCATTCAGTAAGCATCACATTAGGGAATAGGGTGGATTGTAGGTGAAAGATTTCTTTTATTTTACTTAACCAAGATGACAAATGTAAGAATTGTTGAGCTAATTTTAGGAGGCATAAATATTTGGAGTATATAAAGGTAATAAAGCTGAAGCTTATATGTAGCTTTGAGCTGTTATTTACTGAGAATATTTGTTTGGAATCTGTGAACAAACAACAAAATCACATAATAGTAAATGAACTATAAAAAAATGATGTTGCTAATGTCAGCAACATGAGCAGCTGAGAACTAAACAAGAGAGAGTAGAAATATTACAATAGTGCAAGAAACTGTTCTTTGTAGCATATAATAACATTTCTGTACAATCAAGGGAATATTGCATTTCCCACTTTATGGGACAGAAATTAAGCTGAGTGGGTAATATTTTCTTTCATACCTTTTAACTTCTTATCCAGTCTCTGAATCATTAAATAAAGACAATAAAAATTTCTGTTTTGATAAAGGTTTCTACTGTAATACTAGGACATGTTAACCTCCTGAACCACTCTACTGCTTTGAAGTAGATTTATACCTACCAGAAAGTGCTTCTTTTAATGGCCACTGTATAGGGAATTCAATCCATCTGTCTCCATTAGGAGAAAGAGGAAGTGTTTTATTTATGGTGAGACTAAAGGTATCCAGGGTTGATGTGTTCTGTATTTTAAAGTGACGAAGAGACAACTGGGATATGTTGTTTTCCAAACTCTGGAGACCAAGCCGCACTTTATAAAGCATTCCCAAATCAGATGGTAAATGTATCTAGGAATCAACAAAGCAATGAGTTAGCATCCAAACAGAGGTATGCAGATAAATGCATAGGCAGTTTACAGGAAGAGAGGAAGTTAACTCTAAAGGAGTCAGCACAGTCCTGCACCCCTTTGCATCAGTCTTGGTGCTAAAAGTCCCATTCACTTCAAAAGCAGCAGAACCAGCTTGACTGTAGGCACTTAAGGACATTTTAGCTTTATCCTCTAGGGGCATTCGTTGTAATTGTTCTATCAGATTCAAATTACACATGCCAATGATTTCTAATGTGAATAAGTAATGTTAATGTCATTTAAAATGACATGCATTATTAACTATGACTATTTGTTGGGGAAAAAAAGAATATGCTTGATCATCATGAAGTTGAGAAAGCCAGAAATTAAAAATAAAATATGGTATGCAACTGAAAATTTCAGCTCTGATTTTCTTGAATATTTAAACAATAATACAAACAATAAAAACAATATTTACATCACTATATGATTACTTCTCTTTAAAAGGAAACTCAAAGAAAATTTAAACATAGGCAAATTTATGTATTATTTTACATCATATGTTATTTGGTTCTCAGTCTGATGTTCCACTTTGTTTTCCATGGTAACTGGATTTGACTTGCCGTTGCTTCCATAAAAAACCATAACCATCTTGGATATATTTTCTGACAACTTTTCAGATTCTGATTTTGTTTCTTCTTGATGCTTTGTGAAATAAATCCTCCATCTGCCTTCTGAACAAATAAAATACAGAAAACAAAAAGGAAAAAAATATTAAAGATGTTTCTATTTTCATATATTAACAAAGCTATCTGACATAAAATTTCTAAGACATGCCTTGTTCTACATGGGGAACATAATTTTATAAGAATGTCACCTGGGTATTGAGCAGCTCCCTAAGTTTGTTGCCATTTTTTACTATTACAAAGGGAAAACTATTGTCAGTACTACTAAGTATAATGACATGTTTTGATGAGAATATTCTCACATTATTATTTCAGAACTGATTAATAAAGCAGTCAATGTAATGACAGATGTTATACCTGAATTCATTTGCTCTCTTCCTAAAGGCCAGGCAGATGTACTCCTCCTCTCCTGAACTTCTAATTAAAAAAAAAAAAAAAAAGATAAAATTGTTATTTTTGTAAAACAGTATCTATATGATAATAAAAGTCTGTATTCATGTCTAGTGAGACAATTGACTGAGTATTATATCATTTAGATTAAAGATTTAACTAGGGAATGTACAGTGTGATTTTCCATTTAAGCATCATCTAAATATCATCCTATTAAATAAATTTTCTGTAGGGCTGGCTCTTTACTAGGAAAATGGTAGTAACATGAAGATTCAAGTATTTTCCATTTTAAAGCATTGTACAATTTATGCTCTGGATGAATGAGCACTGATTGGATGTCTTTAATGCCCATTCTAGAGGTTGATGTTCCTTCCATAGATATGAGTCCTCACTGATTTCATCAGGATTTGGTGTAGATCAAATCTGCCTGTAAACATTAGGTAGTGACCTGAACTGAAAATAAGACTTCTTTTGAGTTCATAACCAAGACTGGATTTGTTAATTATTGTATAAAGAAACTCACAGGAACATTTTTCCAAATCAATGAAGTTTAGTAGAATCAGAACTAAATATTGCCTTTTGGTTTTTTTCTCAGAGATGTTCCAACATACAAACTAAACCAAACCTGAAATTATTTGCTTTTGCAAACAAACAAACAGCAGTTTCCTCCTTTTTTTTTTTTTTTTTTTTTTTTTTTTCTGGTTTCAAATGATCAAAAGTTAGAGATCATACAGCAGAGGAAATCAATTGAACTAGAATTTTCAGTCTCAAAAGGCTGTTGCTGGTGCCAGAAAATGCCCAGGGAGTTAGGAAGAATAAATCTAGAATATGTTTTGCAATCCAAGGACTCATCTGTAATGTCAATTAACTTCTCTGAGAGGCAGGAGAATAAATACATCTCTCTTAGAGGTACATTCTGGGCTTTGGTGCCTACTGATCTGGTTGGAATGTGTAAATTCTCCCAGCTTGCACACCAGATTGTGTTGAAAGCCACGCTTAGACTGAAGCCATGACACAGGGAGGGAAGGAGGATGTGCATTCCCTTCCTGTCTTGACAAAGAGTCACACGCAGTGGGATCAAAACTGCTCCTCTGTGGCCCGATTATTCACATTATGTCAGTCAAAAGTATCTCCAGTTTCTGGCAAAAGCTATCCAAACAGTGTAGCATAAATAATGTAAATTAGTCATCTTGAATAAAATGGAGGAATTTTCTCCACTGCTTAAACAGAGTTTTCCCTGCTTTTTACCTTGTTTTCACTCTGCCTAGCAATTGGTATTAGAAGCTTAAAAAATAGTTTGTAGGTGTAGAAGTAAAACTTGGAGAGGTAGGAATTTGTAAAAAAAAGAATAGGACAAATTTCTTGGCATTTGCACCACTAAAAATCTAGAGTAACAAAGCAGAAATTATCCTCTGGCAAATTGTGGCTATTAAGTGGTAGTAAAACTCAAAGTGTTCAGACACACTTATTCCCTGTATATTGACAATGTTCTACCGGAATATTTTAAATCACAACTTGTTTGTAGAAGCGAATAATATAGCTGCATTCTCCAGTTTGGAATGAATTTCTTAGCAGATGATAGTTTGAAGATAGTGTTGACCTGTGGCATCCAGAGTTACTGAGGCAGATCTTTTTCCATCACGTCTATCTTTAAGCCATGTTTGAGCCATAAACAGTGTTTCTGTCCCTGAAGATGCTGACTCTTTCACAATAATCTTCTCCAGAAGCCAGTCAGAGCCTCTCCCTTTTTCAACAACCATCCTGTGCAGAATACCAATATCTACTGCCTCCACTTGAAAAATATCCACCTGAAAAATTCAGAATCGGAAGTCATACAGAAACAGAATCATGTAACTAAATTATTAGGGTATTTTGAAATATGAAAGTGAGAAAAAAATCAGGACTTTTTTTATTAACTCAATAAATACCAACAGAACCAGAGATGACAAGTTCAACCATGCTAAATGCCAGCATTAAGAAGTATTTCTTCCCTTTGTGGTTCTGCAATTTACAATTAAATCCCCTCTTTGCCCACAAAGATCTATAAATTGCCTATGCTCACTTAATGAGAAATTTTCCTTCCCAAAATTGATGTTTAATTAGCCCAAGGGCTATTTCAGAAATGAAATACAGGGCATGAGAAAGGTAGAAACAAGCATCACAGAAGGAATCTCTAAAGAAAGAATGACAAACTTGGTTCCAGATTTGGATTAACTTGTAGGATTAGTTTCAATATAAGTAATTGAATTGAAGGAAAAATATTAAATAAAACTATGTTGAAATAGGTTCTGCTATTCTCTATCAATTAAAAAAACCACCATAATTTTAAAAAGTTTAGAACATGAAGTAAGATTCCTAAAGAAAACTGTGATACATCAGACATTTAACAGCTTCACAATATGTGATTCTGGTAGTGAGTGTTACACTTATTTCCTGTTTCCTCATCAGAAAAACAGGCATTAAATTCTTGACACAGAGACTTTCCACATTTTTTGCTTTATAGATTTATGAATTATCATCTCATTTCTACTGGGATTGATAACTGTTGAAAGCCAGTGTTATTTGTTATGGAATTTCCAGTGTGATTGAAAGAGGCAAAGATGGTTTTGAAGGGAATAGGTAGCAATAATGATTGAGTCCTGAGAGGTCTTGCAGTCTTCCCAATGCGATTCACACTGAAGTTGCTCTGCCAGAGCAACCCTTAAAGGCTTATTCAGAGATGAAACAGAGAATAGCAGTCCTCTTGCTCCACCTCTATTCTTTCCTGGACAGGTCTTCCAGCTGAAGAACCGATGAAAGATTTGCATCTCAAAGATGAGCTTAACCATCTTGCAACTTAATAAGACACAGCATAATCTCAAATATTGAGCTTAAAATTGCAGATAATGTATAACTATCCACTTTAAAAAGAATCCCCAGAAACAGAACAAATTTAAATTTGTTGTTCAACTTTTGTTTCTTGTTTTTCATTAGTATCTGTACATGTGAATTTGAAAGTGTGTGTTTAGGACACCTTTAATAGTGTCCTAAAAATAACAATCAACCTGTTACTAATTACTCTGTAACTTCTAGACAGAAAGGTCATGTTAGTCAAAAACTGCCACAATGTACCATCTAATCAACAAATGTGCATTATCACTCTTAAACTATCATGTGAAATGGGAGAATGAGACAATGACACTAAAGAAAAAATCTGAAAGAGGCACTTGAATAGCTGTACTTCCTCACAAGGAGTCAAGGTTATCAGCGGCTTAGTGAATTTAACAGCAGAGCAAATACATTGGAATGGCTGAAATTCTAGATGGAGTGCAGAACTGCAGGAAAAGAGGATCCTTTTCATGTTTTCCTTAGCTAAATAAAAAAATTAAGGTTTAGTGCCAACACAACCATTTTATTTTATTATCTATTGGACTAATCTGATGATTGAATATCATTCATTTGAACTCTTAATTTACATTTATTGTGATATTAAGTTGATCACTCTTTTATTCCAGCTTTAATTAGATTGGTAAAGTAATACCATTATGCCTGAATAAAATGAATTTGTTACACTTAGTAAATGAAATATATTAAAAATACACACAGTTAGGAGATGACTGACAAACACAGACTGAAGTAAGAAACATACAGACCCCTGTGTCTTTCAGTAAAAAAATATTTTAAGTTCACAAAATGCAAAAATTTATCCTAAAATTGCTGCTAGTTCTTGCAAATTATTATGCTTATAGTAATGCATGATTGTTGAGGTTTAACCCCAGGCAGTATCCAAGCCCCACAGAGCTGCTTGCTCACCCCCTCACCAGTGAGATCAAGGAGAGAATGAGAATGGTAAAAGCTAAAAAATTCGTGGGTTGAGAAAAAGTTAAATAGAGAAAGCAGCATCCATGCACACAACCAGAGCAAAATGAGGAATCAATTCAGTGCTTCCCACAGGCAGGCAGGTGCTCAGCCATATCCAGGAGAGCAGGGCCTCAGAACTTGCAGTGGTTACTTCGGAAGACAAATGCCATCCTTGACTCCAAACGTCCTCCTTCCTCCTTCTTCCCCCACTTTCTATACTGAACATGATGCCATAATGTCTGGAATATCCCTTTGGTCAGTTGGGGTCACCTGTCCTGGCTGTGTCTCCTCCCACCCTTCCATGAACACCCAGCCTTCTCACTGGCATGGCAGCACAAAAAGCAGAAAAGGCCTTGGCTCTGTGTAAGTCCTGCCCAGTGATAACAAAAACATCTCTGTATTATCAGCTCTGTGTTCAGCACAAATCCAAAACAGAGCCTCATACCAGCCACTGTGCAGAAAATTAATTCTACCCCAGCTGTAACAAGCACAATTGTTTTATTGGAAACACATGAGATAGCTCTTGTCAGATACTTGTTGGAATAATTTCTTTTTAAGAGAAAAGAGTTTCCCTGAAAATGACTAATTTAGTGACATGATCATCAGCATCTCCAAAAAACTCTGTTGTCAATGATCTATTCTTGGAAAGGAGAGTAAGGAATATAGGAAAACTACAGACAATATTCTGCTGGCTTCTAGACTTGCGCTGTCCCCAGAAGAATAGTTGTGTCTGACTTGCACCAAGTTTGATGCTTATCAAACTTTTAGTACTTATTAACTTAGTGACTTAATAAATCAGGGACAGCATGTATTATCTATGACCTGGATATCTATGACCAGCCACAGATAAAAACAAATATAGTTAAGGTGCAAAAGGGTTTCCAATTCCTTTTTCCTATGAAAATAAGTATATTTTGATGGAATAAACATTTGTAAAAACTTTGATGTTTGGTTTGTGTTAGTCACAGCTATTTATCACTTGTCAATGTGCCGTTTTAACAAGCTCACTTTAGAGGATCTAAAATCTCAGAAATCCATGGTCAAATCAGCAGACTAATAAACAGGAAGTTAAGGAACTATTAAATAGACTAGAAATTGTGTCATCTGGGGTAAACTCACCTCGCAGACAAGATTACATTTTATCTTTATGTGTACATTTGAAAATCTACACAGTGTAATGAGCTTTATTTTAGTCAAGAGACCAAAAAAGAACAGAGAAAGAGCAGCAACTAAAATTGTTAGAACTAAAAACAATTGGCTAGAGATAATTTGTTTGCTAAATTTAATTCAATTTTCTCCTCTCAAGCTGTCTGCAAACAGAGAGATTATGACATATATTTCATTCTAATTTTATTAAATTCAATTACTATTAATAATTTAGATAACATTTTTGTGGATTCATCTGAGACCATGGATTAGGCATAAAATTTTCTAAACACTCGAATTGGTGACAGGTCTTGTATGTAACATGATACTCTATCTTTTATTTGACTTACAAATGGGCACCTTCTCAATTACTGGAGGGTTAATTTTTCTGCAAAAAGAGAAGAGATGGGAAAAAAACACCCAGAAGATAAGCAAAACTATGGAATATGAAATTTATCATTTTCCCCTAGGGAAAAAAATGTTAATTGTTTTTTAGTTACTGCTAGCAAATTAGGTTTGAACTGAGAAGTCACCTTAAATATTGATAATAATACATATTGTCCAATTCAGCAGAGCTTATATTGAATTTTCTCAGAATAGCATTAAAGCAATTTGTATGTATGTACAGCCCACTAAATTTTCTTAATTAACATGGCTTGAAGAAAGAAAGATATTCTCCCAGTCTGAGCAGCTGAGATTGACAATGGTAGAGCCACACATTCTCTGTGAGTCAGAAGAGCTGCCCTAGCAAATTGCAGAATTGGTACTTTTGGTACTTCCTTGTGGTACTTTTGGTACTTTCCTAACAGAATTGGTACTTTTCATACATCTTGGCTAAGAAACTAAGGACTAAAAAATTCCTTTATAAGAATAATTCTAGCAATCCTTTCCGAATATTTAAAATTTGGGTTTTTTTCTTAACTCCTTTTCAGATTTTCTTCAAATGTTTATGTCTTTTCCAGGGATCCACACTTTGAGCCTTTTCTTTGAATCTATGACCCAGTTTATTATGACTTTATTCAGTACTCTTCTGTGACAGTGCTGGCAACATATCACTGTCTGCAGCAGCTGCAATAGCTCTTGTAACAGAAGAAGCATTTGAACAGTCACTGTGCAATATTTACCTTTATAAATGCCAATCATTTTACAGGCTTGGTATTGAGACTTGATGGTTGGTTAATGATGATATTCCCAGAAGGAATGAAAATGGCAAGTCAAGACACACCATATGCTTCATTTCATCAACCTGTATGCACAAGTGATTTCCCATACTGCTAATGTTAGTATCATTTTAATAGGCTTTTATTGGAAAAGGAGTCAGAGTGTCTAGATGAAAGACCTTTTCTATTAAGCTTAGTGAACCTATTGATTTGCTGCCTGATTATTTTGATCTCACTCGCTAATCTGGAGAAACTGAAAACAAAGGAGTTTTAACACAGGAAGGCAAAATAAAGGCCCCCTGTAACACTGAGCCCAATCAGAAACAGTGTGTAAACAATCCTGTAAAAGGAGAAAAAAGAGAAAAACCACTTATGCCCCTTCAGACTGTAGTCCTGTGGGCTCTTCCAGTTGTGCTGAACAGAACCTCTCCACCCTGTCCCAAATGCTTGTCACATCACTACCTTCTCCTAGATGGAAGTTAGCAAAACCACAAAATCGGCTCCAGCAAAATTTTATCAAGACAGACCAAGTGAAAAAGCCCAAATCACAAATGATATGAACTGCTTAAACTAAATAAACATTTAGACAGAGCAAATGTATGTCACTATGCCAGCTGACTTCAGAGGTGGACATATTGGGCGGTAAGCAGCAGTGATAACAA